TTGTTGCCCTGATGCATATGGCAGTAAAACTTACATATGATGTTTTGGCACAGCAATAATGAAACCAGAAAAAGTAATTCTTTGCTGTTATTTTTAAATAAAGTATGGAATGGTTAGAACCCCTGTCAGTTTTATTTTGCCATCTGTGTTCCCATTCAGACCCCTGATAGCCACAACATGAAGTGAGAGGCAATCGCTCCAAAGTGAGGGAATGATTGGTTGTCACCAAAACTAGTGTCTCCATTGTAAGATTTCCCCTCTATTCCTGTTCTGGTGAAAACTCACAATTTAGGATTTTCTTTCACTTTCACTTTCAGGGCTCGTTCACACCATGGTAGGGAGACATTAGCGTTCTGCAAGGGCATAACTAAATCAATTGTTCTCTATGTGCCCTGTTCACACCACAACACTAGTAACACGTGCAGGTTTTTTTTCTGTGCAGGAATCTGCAAGGTATATAAAACTCATTGTAGCGCACATGAAAAAGTGATGTAAACTGATGTCTCTGCAAGTGAAATCTGTGCATCAGTTTCCATCAGTTTCCAAGCAAGTATGGTGTGAACAAGCTCTCAGTGATAATGGTAAACAGAACAGAGAGATGAACAGAGAGGGTTCATCTCTGTAACAGGGGCACAAACACCAAAAAAAAAAAAACTGACAGGTGTTCTAATTCCTCTCCACTCTACTTGAAATAATAAAAAAGTGCCTTTAGTTATCATTTAAAGTGTTACTAAACCCACAAAAGTAACATCAGTCTGTGTATGCATTAAAGCATGTTTGCTATACTCAATATGGAACCTAAGGGGTTAATCCTCTGTGTTGTGTAAAAAGGCTGTTTGATCCTGACTTCTCTGATCCTCCTCTACTTCTACTGCCCCCAATCCATCTCTTGATAAGACATATCGTGTGGAATCACTCTGCAGATGCTCAGTTTGGTGTGTATTGATAGAGAGGTTTTTTTTTTTCTTGGGAGAGTGCATGTGATGAGCACAGGGCCAATCAGCACTGCCCAGACAGAGGTCAGGGGTCTTGCATCCTCCTAGAGCAGAAAGAAAACTCCTCCTACAAGCTTTAACCAGTGCTCTGCTGAACACCAATAGAAGTCACAAGACTGCTCTAACTGCTGATGAGAAAAGGTATTTACCAATTTATATTTACTAAAATAATTGCATTTCCATGTTCTGTGTACTGTGGGAGACCAGATATAGTGAATACAGGGTCCTGGGTTTAGTAACACTTTAAGTACACTTTTTAAAAAAAATATGTTCCAAATCTTTGATTTCCACAGGAAGTTGTCCACCTCAAGTGTTTTCCTGCAAGAATAGCCAATGTATTGTCAAGCAAAACCCGGAATGTGACAGTGTGCGTGACTGCAAAGATGGATCAGATGAGAAGAACTGCAGTAAGTTTCTTGACAATAGTCTGCAATACTGTTGGTTCGAATGTGTGAGCATACAGTAACTAACATTCATTAGGTTCTAGAGATATATTTATTCTATATGGATATAGGTACTTTGAATATGAACATACTATAAAAATGTTACGTCAAAACTGCCAGCAACATTCAAGTGGTTGCAAAGGCTCAAGGTTCTTTTTACCTTCATGCATTCTATGTATGAAGGTAAAAATCCTTCTGTGTGCAGCATCCCCCAGCAACCTAATGCTCACCTAATCCCCCTCTGAATCCAGCAATGTGCACTGGAGTCTCGACTAGGCCAGGACTCCCTCACCTCATTGGTTGAGACAGATGTGGGAGCCGTTGGCTCCCACTGCTGTCAATCAGCAAATGAGCCAATGAGAAGAGAGAGGGGTTGGAGCCGAGCCGTGGCTCTGTGTGTGAATGGACACACGGAGCAGCGGGTGCCCCCATAGCAAGCTGCTTGCTGTGGAGGCACCTGACAGGAGGGAGGGGCCAGAAGAGCTTGCGGGGGACCCGAGAAGAGGAGGATCCGGGCTGCTCGGTTCAAAACTCCTGCACACAGCAGGTAAGTATAAACATGGTTGCATTTTTAAAAAAAAAAAAAAAATAAGCCTTTAGAATCACTTTAACTTAAAACCTAGCTCCATGTTTCTTATGCCTTTAAAGGATAAGTACATGTTACATGTTACACCCATATTTAGGGTGTATCATTTCACATGTTATGAACGAACCGGTCCCCGCACCCCCTGATCCCCATTGTGACAGCTAGCAGGGGACCTTCTCTCCTCGCTAGCTGTCACAATTTAAAAAAAACATGGTGGAGCGTGGCTCTGCCCACCCAGCCGCGTCACTCATTCATAGCATTCTGTGAATGAGATCACTACAAGTTCCGACAGCCTTTGTGGCTGTTGGCGTGTAGTTCTGAATGTACTACCACGGCCCTGTGGAGCAACATGGTAGTTCGTTAAGTCTTCCTGTCAGTAAGTATCTGCCTGCCAGTACGAGATGTACAGGCACACAGATACACTGACAGGTCTGCAGGAGACATGCATGGCACCAGTGATCTGCTGATTGTTGGTGCAATGCTTTAGATGCTCCACAAATAAAAATGAATAAATGTACATCTTTTTACCTACAAAAAAAAATGTGCATATATTATTTTTTGTTAAAAAATGAACTTATCCTTCAAAGAGTTTGCTTGGATAAAGCTGGTCCAAAAATGTAATTCACTAAGAGATGCGCCGACTGGGTGTGCTCTATGAGCTGTGAGTAACATCACCTACATACAGTATACAGCAGGATGGGGGACTTCCTGTCCCCCTACCGGAACAAAATTGTGTCAGGCTAAGCTAAAGGCTTCTCAGCCATTCACAAGTAGCTTTGTATTTCATCAATTAATACATGTCTTCCTCTGATTGGCTTGAGGTGAAGAGCATGACATCTGCCTACCCCTCCACCTCAACCAGTCAGAGGAGGCCCAGTATTCATTGATGCAATACAATGCTTCCTGTGAAAGGCTTAGCATCACAGCATAATGCAGTTTTGTTCCTGGAGTGGGACAAAAAGTTCCCATCCTGTTGCAGGAACACAATGCTGTATACTGTAATGAGTCCTAGAGACAAGGCAGGACGTGAAGATTACTTAGGGTCCTTTCACACAGGCGTTCCATTTTTTTTTTTCAGTTCAGGCACGTTTTTTTTAAAGAAAAAACGGATGAGTTTACATCCATTTTTTCATCCGTTTACATCCGTTTTTTTTCATCCATTTTTCATCGATTTACATTGGTTTACATCCATTTTTTATCTGTTTAGGTCCGTTTACATCCATTTTTTCATCCATTTTTATCCATTTACATCCGTTTTTTTCATTCGTTTACATCCGTTTTTTCATCCGTTTTTTCATTCGTTTACATCCGTTTTTTCATCAGTTTTTTCATCCGTTTTTCATCCATTTACATCTCTTTTCCATCCATTTACATTGTTTTCCATCCATTTTTCATCTGTTTAGATCAGTTTACATCCATTTTTCATCCGTTTTCATCCGTTTACATCAGTTTTTTTCATCCGTTTACATCTGTTTTTTCATCTGTTTTTTCATCTGTTTTTTCATCCATTATTCAGCCGTTTCCATCCATTTTTCATCCGTTTACATTCGTTTACATCCGTTTAGATCCATTTTTAATCCATTTACATTGGTTTACATCCATTTTCCTCCATTTTAATCCTACATCTGTTTTTGGTCCGTTTACATCCGTTGACATCCTTTTTCGTCCGTTCCGGGTTTTTTTCAGAAGAAAAATAGGGTTTTTCTTCCGTTCAAAAAAAAACAGATGTTAACGGATGAGGACAATAATGGATGTAAAAAAATCAGTTTACATCCGCAAGTCCATAGAAATACATGGGGTCCGTTTTTCATCCGTAATTGGACAGATAAAAAACGGACATACAGAACGCCCGTGTGAAAGAGGCCTAACTGGGTATTTTTCAGCCAAATATTCAGAGGGGCCCAAATGACCTACAGATATAACAATTAGGGCTGGTTCACACTACAGGCGTACCTCGGTTTACGAATTTAATTCGTTCTGCGGGACTTTTCGTATTGCAAAAAATTCATAAACCGAAACGTGGTTTCCCATAGGAATGCACCGAAAACCAATTAATCCGTTCCGGAGGTCACAAAAAAGTTAAAAAAAAAGTATTTTATGTGTTCAAAACTCTTTATAAAGTGCACTTTAAAGGCATAAATACTGTACACGGACATGATTAAAAAAAAAATTGTAAATACATTGAAAACCAATTAATTCGACCCAGAGGTCAGAAAAAAGTAAAAAAAAGGTTTTATCTGTTCAAAACTTTTTATAAAGTGCACTTTAAAGACATATAGGGACATAATTAAAAAAAATTCATAAATGCTTTGAAAACCAATTAATCTGTTCCGGAGGTCAGAAAAAAGTCAAAAAGTCTTATCTGTTCAAAACTCTTAATAAAGTGCACTTTAAAGGCATAAAGGGACATGATTAAAAAAAATTTGTAAATGCATTGAAAACCAATTAATCCGTTCCGGAGGTCAGAAAAAAGTTCAAATAAAGTCTTATCTGTTCAAAACCCTTTATAAAGTGCACTTTAAAGGCATAAATACTGTACAGGGAAATGATTGAAAAAAAAATTTGTAAATGCATTGAAAACCAATTCATCCGTTCGTATTGCGAAAAAAAAATTGTAAACTGAGGCATTATTTTCAATGGATTTTCATTCGTAAACCGAAAATTACGTTAACTGAGGCATCCGTAAACCGTGGTATTGTGGTGTGGGAAACCACATGTGATTCGGACAGGAATTGCACTGCATTCCTGTTCAAATCACAAGCAGTTTTTTGCAGTGTGATTTGAGCCATTAACTACTTGCCAACCACAGATAGCCGAATGATGGTTACACTGCGGCCGGCCAGTTCTGGGAGGGAGTCATATGACGTCCTCCCAGAACGCGCTCTCCTGCGCGCCCCCGGGGGTGCGCACCCAGCAATCTCCGTGATCGCTGTGGTAAAAGGCCAATCACAGCGGACACGCTGATCACTGGGAAATGCAATTACCGGTTCTCGGCTGCACTTTCCTCACGCTGTCAGAGCGTGAGGAAAGTACTGCCGAGAACCGGCAGTTGTCAGAGCAGGGATCGGCACCGATCATCAGGGCACTGATGATCAGTGCCCTGATCGGTGCCCAGCAGTGCCACCCACCAGTTCTGGCCACCTGTGCCCAGCAGTGCGTCCACCTGTGCCCAGCAGTGTGTCCATCTGTGCCACCCAGCAGTGCCACACACCTGTGCCCAGAAGTGCCACCTACCTATGCCCAGCAGTGCCACCCACCTGTGCCCACCAGTGCCACCCATCAGTGCAGCCCAGCCGTTGTGCCAGTCAGTGCCCAGCGGTTGTGCCAGTCAGTGCCCAGCAGTTGCGCCAGTCAGTGCCACCTATCAATGCCACCTATCAGTGCTGCCTATCCGTGACACCTCATTAGTGCTGCCTATCAGTGCCGCCTATCTGTGCCTATTAGTGCTGCCTATCAGTGCTGCCTATCAGTGCTGCCTATCATTGCTGCCTATCAGTGCCCATCAGTGCAGCCTATTAGTGCCCATCAGTGCTGCCTCATCAACACACATCACTGAAAGAGAAAAATTACCTGTTTGAAAAATTTTATAATAGAAACAAAGAAACTTTTTTTTTGCAATTTTTTTGTTTATAGCGCAAAAAGTAAAGTGCCCAGCGGCGAATAAATACCACCAAAAGAAAGCTCTATTTGTGAGAAAAAAATTATAAAATGTCATATGGGTACAATCTTGCATGACCGCGCAATAGTCAATCAAAGTGCGACTGTGCAAAAAGCTGAAAATTGACCTGGTAAAGAAGGGGGTATAAGTGCCCAGTAGGCAAGTGGTTAATTTTGTATGGTTCAAATCGCAACGCACCCGCAAGAAAGGTTTGTGCACCTTTTTTTTTCGCACTGCAATCAGATTGCATGGGTTTTCACACCCATACAATCCAATTCATCCAAGGGCACTGTGTTCTGTGAACCTTTTTTAGGGTATCGTTAACATAACATCTGACAGCCGTAGCAGTTCTCATGAAAAGAGTGCGATTCTGATGCGGTGTGGGAAACACACGGAATTTGCTGTGAATCCCGCACCGCACCACACCAGTGTGAATCGGCACTAAAATGAATGAACATTTTACAAAGCTACAGCCTAATACTTTATTGGCGCCCTTTGACTGCACAGGCTATTTTCTAGAAAAGGAGAACTTAGTCTTTACCCTGGGAACTGAATTCAATAGAAACTACCTGTTGAAACGTTGGACTATGGGAATCATGTTTAATATATCATTTTTAAATCCCTTGCATTATAAAATGGATATTCTTGGATATAATTAAATTCTTACATGTCTTTCAGCTCCAGTTTGTGAAGTTCTATTGAATGTGGCTGACGTTGTTTATGGCATATGATGATTTTTTTCTTAACTCCTATTTTTTTCTTTTTAATGTTAAGATTGTGGTTCACGTCCTGCAATCCAGAAATCAAACAGAATAGTAGGAGGGTCAGATGCTGCAAAGGGAGAATTCCCATGGCAGGTCAGTTTAAGGGAGAACAACGAACACTTCTGTGGAGCAACCATTATAAGTGGCAAGTGGCTGGTATCTGCTGCTCACTGCTTCAATGAGTAAGTACAGCTCAGTTTCCAAATCTTGCATAATGGAAAGGGTCTCTTTAAGGCTGCTAAATAATAAAATTTGATATTGGATTGCTCGCTTAATAAAAACTGAAAAGGTGTTTGTATTGCTGAAGAATCATATATCATGGCCCAAATAGCCCAATTAGTATTTTTTTTTCATCTGTGCTCTCTGAAGTTGTATGGGGGATAGTTTTATAGCTTTATCCAAACTGTATGACAATGTTTTGTATTTTATTAAAACTAGAATTAAAGTGGAGATAAAAACAAAGAAACCAAAAACTGCTTTTAGTTCAGTTACTGTATGTATTTATAAAAAAAAATCACTACATCTATTGTTAAGTTGCATATATTATTTTTGAAAATGATATTATCTTTCCACAAACCTACAGTGATATCACTCATCACTTGAAAATGCATGTCATTTTTAGCATACATACTTTTGTGCAAGTTGTTTTCATTTTTTTTTTTTAAAGCCCAAGTTCAGCACAAACATTTACATTCAATTTTGTATGCTGGTTAAGAGGGGGTTTGATCATGAGTTTAACCACTTAGCTTTTCCTGTAGACTAATTATGGATCACAGCAAATTTTACATTGCTGCTTTGGGCCGATTGATTTGACGACTACTTTGTTATCTTAAGTCAGTGGTTCTCAACCTTCCTAATGTCGCGACCCTTTTATACAGTTCCCCCCAACCATAAAATTATTTACCCAGTAATTATAATTCATGAAGTGTCGTTTTACCTCCAATACTGCTGCTTTCAACACAGTAGCTGCTTTCTACACAGTGGCTGCTTTCTACACAGCAGCTGCTCTTTACACATCGGAAATATGTGTTTTCCGATGGTCTTAGGCGACCCCTGTGAAAGGGTCGTTCGACCCCCAAAGGGGTCACGACCCACAGGTTGAGAACCACTGTCTTAAGTAATGACAAAATCATTGCTTTTTTGGGGACAAACAAGTCTTTCTTTTGTAAATATTGTTGTATCAAACGTATTTGTTTTCTGTGCAACCTATAGAGAAAAATGAGTTTTTATAGTGTTGACATTAACCACTTGCCTACCGGGCACTTTTACCCCCTTCCTGCCCAGGCCAAGTTTCAGCTTGCAGTACTTTCGCAGTTTGAATGACAATTGCGTGGTCATGCAACACTGTACCTAAATGACATTTTTATAATTTTTTTTTCCACACAAATAAAGCTTTCTTTTGGTGGTATTTAATCACCACTGGGTTTTATTATTTTTTTTGCTAAACAAGTGACAAAATACTAAACATTTTGGAAAAAAATGTTTTCTTAGTTTCTATTATAAATTTTTGCAAAAAGGTACATTTTCACTGATGTGCGTTGATGAGGCTGCACTGATAGGCAGCACTGACTGGCACTGATGGGGCAGCACTGATAGGCTGCACTGATGGGGCAGCACTGATATGCTGCACTGATGGGGCAGCACTGGTGGGCATTGATGAGGGGGCACTAATGAGGCTGCACTGATATGAGGCACTGATGGGCACTGATAGGGGGCAATGATGGGCGGCACTGATGGGCGCTAATAGGCAGCACTGAAGGGCACTGGATGGCGGCACTGACTGGCAGCACTGACGGGCACAGATTGGCAGCACTGACAGGCAAAGATTGGCAGCAATGATGGGCACAGATTGGCAGCACTGTTGGGCACTGATGGGCACTTTTAGGGCTGCACTGATAATCAGGGCACAATCAGTGGTTAAAACAACTAGTGTTGCTATACATTAAGGTAGGCCATTGACGGAGTGAATTTCTTTCCTGGAATCATGGATTTCCCCATCAACACAGTCAGTGTTGACAGGACAATCCCTCCCGCTGAGCCATTGTGTTCTCCTGGCAGGGGGGCGGGGAACAGCCACTAGCAATAATCACATGTATAATCTGGCAGACTGTTTTTACCAAAGTTGATCTAGTCGATCTATAACCTGGGTACATTCAGCCTGCCTATACATGGTTCGAATCTCGGCTGGTTCCTCCTGACCCGGACGAGATTCAAACCATCTATGGCTGGCTTAAAGGCCTATTCACACCATTGTAATGTGTTAGCAGATGTCAATTAACATTTGTTGCATTAAGGCAGCCAATTCATTTAAATTGGCTGCCTAACACCCCCAAAAAATGTACAATTTCTGCAAGCTCTTCACATTACCTTTCCATCCATTCCACTGCACCATTCATCCACAGGGTGTGTTGGAGTGCCATTCAGAATAAATAGCACTGAATCATACCAAGGTGTGTCTACTGCAATTGTGTGATTGCACCCTATACACTTTGTTCTTTCTTTTGTCCTATTTGTGACGCTATTATGCTTTTGGTATACTGTAAAGTATAGCAAGGTATTTAGAAACGAAATAAAGATTTTTTTCAGCACAATTTTTAATGCCACACAAAAAAATAAAATGAATTTAAAAAATGACATATTTATGGTTAAAAAAATAAAAATAAACAAGCCTGCAGAATAATAATAGCTAAAAGAAAAAGGTCATAACTAGAGTCAACTCAGGTTTAAAAAGATTTAAAAAGGAACATATTGTATTTTTTTTTGTACTTGTATGGTTGATTTAATTAAAGTGATATTGAAGTTTTTTCTTTGTCTAAAATAAAAAGATGTCTTACTTAAAGCGGTAGTAAACCGCGTTCATTAAAAAAAATAAAAATCCCCTGCAAGGTAAAGACATAATGTGCTAGTATGCATCACATACTAGCATATTATGTAAAACTTACTTTAAAATGAAGCCCTCCAGTGGTGCGCCGCCACCCTGTCTGTCCCGCCGATCATCGCCGCGGATGTCAGTCGCCGGGTCACAGCCGGTCCTTACCGGCGATCGGCGGCAAACAGTGACAGAGAGCACAGCTGCAGTAGCTGTGCTGTCTGTCACTTCCCTGACAGCTCGAGAACGAGCTGATCGAGAAAGAAGAGTTTCTCTCTCTTGATCAGTGGTGTCCCGTGCAGTACACACCCCCGCCCCCTAGTAAAACACTCCCCCTCACACAGATAACCCTTCACTGCAAAATAAAGTTAACCCCTTCCTCCCCAGTGCCATTAGTACAGTGTCAGTGTTTTGTTTTTTTTGCACTGATCACTGTATTAGTGTTTTTGGGTATGTCAGTGACCCCAAGTCAGTACCCCCCAATGTCAGAATGTCCGCCACAGTCCCGCAGTCCCTCCATAAGTCGCTGATCGCTGCCATAAGTCACTGATCGCCGCCATAATTCGCTGATCGCCGCCATTATTAGTATAAAAAAAAACTAAAAATCCCAGTATCTTTCCCGCCATTTGTAAACGCTATAACTTTCACGTAAACCAATTAATTTACACGTATTGTTTTTTTTTTTAGCAAAGACATGTCGCAGAATGCATTTTGCAGAAATTTATGACTAAATTTGATTTTTGCATTTTTTTTTACTGGACATGTTTTATAGCAAAAAGTCCAAAATATTGTTTTTTCCTCAAAATTGTCAGCCTTTTTTTTTATAGCGCAAAAAAATAAAAACCGCACAGGCAATCAAATACCACCAAAAGAAAGCTCAATTTGTGGGGAAAAAAAGTATGTAAATTTCATTTATGTACCGTATTGCATGATCGCACAATTGTCCGTTAAACTACCGCAGCGCTGTATAGCAGAAAAATGGCGTAAATTGCAGTATCTATACCATAGTTTGTAGACGCTATAACTTTCACACAAAGCAATCAATATACACT